TCCTGAACACACTTCTCATTGCAAAATATCCAGATGTCTGATTAAAATATGCAAAGAAACGTCTACGTACATAACTGAGAAAAAAAGCCTCTCTCAAATCTCTTCCTCCCCCTGTATGTACATATTGCCCCTGGCCAAATCCCGCTCTCCTTCGGGGAGCCCTCCTTGTCTCCCCAGGACCTCCTCTGCTTCCCTAGCCCAGCCCGTCCCCATCAAAACTCCATTCAGGACATGGAGCTGCGACGGTCCGCCTGGCCCACCCCTGCCCCAGCCAGCCACACACATACACTAGTCTGTGAGTTCCCGAGATCCTAGCACCAGAGTACACGGTAGACACTCAGTTCATGTGGTGGGAGTACCACAAGCCCTGATGACATGATGACAGGGGACCATTAGTGGTAAAGAGCTCCCATTCCCTGCAACATTCACTGCTTTTCCCAGGAGTGGACATTGGAAATAGTATCTCCAGGCCACAGACCAGAGTCTGAGAACCACACATTGTATGGAAGATGGGAAGGGGGTTGTGGGGTGACCTCTTGGCAGCATTGCCCCATTAAAAACCAGCACTGTCCTAGCCACAAAGAGAAGTTAGCTTACATGCAGCAGGTGGGGCAAGGCCCTCCTAATGGAAATGCCAGGGAGGCAAATGTCCAGACTGGGCCTTGGGTTCCCAACTCTCAAGATAAAGCAAGTCCAGGTTACTGATGATTAGCATATGACCAGATGAAGGGTTCAAGATAAGGAAACAAGTGGATTGGTCCCAGTCCTGACTCTGTCATCAACTTCATTGTGTGGCTTCTGGTGAGTCCCCATCCTTCCTGGGCTTCCAAACTGTCATTTGTGAAACAAGGGGGTCAGGCACTGAGTGACATCCAGGTCCCTTCACATTGGGATTTTTGTGTATCCTGGGTCCTTCCCCAGGCTGAGGAGAAGAACTGGAAGTCCCTGCCTTGCACATGACACACCCACCCACACGAGGAAGTAGAACAATGAAGGCAAGCTGGTGCTGTTTCTAGATTGACACTTGGGCTGACTCATCCTCCCAAAATATCAGTCCTGTTCCTTCTTACCCCAGTCCGCCCCTCAGAGCCCAGCCCGTGAGCACCTGGGAGGTACTGACGGCAGTGCAGGCTGGGCGCAGCTGCTCAGATACCACCAAGGGCTCAGAATGGGCCCCCCTCAATCCATATCCCCCTGTGAGCAGGCTCATCCCCTGGGAAACTCCAACATCATATAGGGGACCTGAGTCACAGGGTGCAAGAGAGGACCAAGCCAAGCCCTTCATGTTACAGATGAGGGAAACTGAGGCCCAGAGGGTCTCAAAGCAAATCAGTGGTAGTGACAAGGCAAGACTGAAGCTTTCTAATTATGCTGCTTCTTGCCCAGCTGCCCCTCAGGGACTTCTCCCAAGAAAAGCCAGCCCCTTACCCCACATGGGATGTACCCCTCCTTCCTTAACCCCACAGAAAACTGTTAGAGAAGGGGGCGCCTGGGAGGCTCAGTGGGTTAAAGCCTCTGCCTTCGGCTCGGGTCATGATCTCAGGGTCCTGGGATCGAGCCCCACATCGGGCTCTCTGCTCACCAGGAAGCCTGCTTCCCCATCTCTCTCTCTCTGCCTGCCTCTCTGCCTGCTTGTGATCTCTGTCTGTCAAATAAATAAATAAAAATATATAAAAAAAAAAAAGACTGTTAGAGAAGAGAAGCTCACTGCCCCACAGCCACATAAAGCACAGGAGAGAGGAAAGCTGTTCCTTCAATAATGGATGGGAAGGAAGGGAGGGAGGAAAACCAATATGTGAATAAATTAAATAAATAAATGAAATGAAAGAAGGAATGTAAAGAAAAAGAGATAAGGGGTAAAAGAAATCAGTAAGTGAATGAATAATTCTGGACATTATTTGAATTCATGTTTCCCAAACTTCCTTTACTGGGTGCTAATAGAGAAAAATGATTTGATACATTTTTATAAGAACATACAAAGAAATCAGAAAATTCCTAAAATGTCCCCATGTTTCCAGTTTGTGAAAACTCATCACATGATATGTATACATTTCTATATGTTTGTTTGGTTTTTTAAGGCTCTACCCAGCAGGGTCCAATGGGGAATGGAACTTCCAGGGCAATGAGGCAAGGCATGGCAGTGTGGGGCAGGGCCCTACTTTTGCTTGGATGCTGCCAGCGGGGTTCAGTAGGAAAAATCCATTCCCACCTAGATCTGTGGGCTACCTAGACAGCATGATGGCCTGAAAAAAAGGAGACTAGGTAGGATATAGAGTCTCACCTCTAACACCCAAATGTCTAAGATACAACTGAAAATTACTGATCATACCAAGAACAAGGAAAATATCAACTTAACTGAGAGAAGACAATCAGGGATGCAACACCCAAATGATACGGATGTTAGATTATCTAACAAGGATTTGAGAGCAACCATAATAAAACGCTTTGATGAACATGCTTGAAACACATAAAAAAGTAGAAAGTCTCAGCAATGAAATAGATGATAAAAAGAAGAACCAACTGGAAATTTTAGAACTGAAAAATACAACTGAAATCACTCAACATGAATATGACTGATGGAGGGCAGAATCAGTAAACTTGAAGAGAGAACAATAGAAACTACCCAATGCATATGACAGAGAGAAAACAGACTGAAAAGAAAGGAACAGAAGCTTGGAGATGTGTGGCCCTATAACCAGAGCTCTAATGCTTGTACTGTTGGAGTGGAGAGGAGAAAGAGGGTGGGGCTAGAAAAGTATTCAAAGAAATAATGCCTGAAAGCTTTCCAAATATAGTGAAAGACTTTAATCTACAGATTCAGGAACTGAGCAAATTCCAAATGCAATAAACCTGAAGAAATCCACTCCAGGACATATCACAATCAAAGTTCAAAACGCTAAAGACAAATAAAAAAAAAAAAATCTTGAAAGAAAAAAGCTGTGAGCCAAGAATTCTATACCCAGCAAAAATATCCTTCAGGAATGAAACTGAAATCAAGATATCCTCAGACAAAAGAAACTAAGAGAATTTGTCACCATCAAGCCTACCCTAAAAGAATGGCTAAGGGAAGTTCTTCAAAAAGAACGGAAATGACAAAAGAAGGAAACTGGAGACATCAGGAATAAGGAAAGAAGAAGGAAAATATGGGTAAATGCTTATTCTCCCTGGGGCAGGGCAAATACATGGGGTGAAACAGAGTGTCCCAAAGCCTTGAAAATCCTCACACATGCTCACACAATTGGACACCATTAAGGGACGAAGTGAAAGGGTATGTTTGAGGCACTTTAAGCTATGGGTCAAGCAGCCACAAGCCTTACTACCAAATGCCAACTAGTGTGTGTGTGAAGTTCTTTTGTTAAGACATTTTGAGGAGGGTTTTCTCTTACTTGAAGCTGACAGTTTCCTAAATGACAAGGCAACTTGCTTGCTGAGACTTTCTATCCAAAGACTCTTGTGCTAAGAACATAATGACTAAAATGGACAGTCTTGATAAGTCCTCCTCATCAGGGTGACACCTAATTTAACCCATATGACCACAGATCTCATCTGTGGTGTGGACCATGTGGCATGAACAGTCTAATCAAAGATCCGACACCAAAAAGTTGCTGCCGTAGGAGAAAGGCAAGCAGGTGAGAGCTTGACCTCTTCCAGACCAGAGATTAGGGGCAAGTGCAGCTCCAGGCTCTGAAGGGAATTGTTCAGTCTGCGTTCGGATCTGCTTCTCCTTACACACTGTGGGAAGGATATCAACAAACCACACTCCATCCACATGACGTGTGAGTGAACATGAACATGACAGTGAAGCTATGACGTCATATAAGGAACTGTGAAGACATAGGAAAAATGAACTTGGGGGAATATGAGGGCTCCGTTGAGCCACTGAAGGAATAACAGGTCATAGTAAACTGGGCTTGGCTGCATAGCCCCAGAGACCAGGGTGCTACTTACTGGACCATCTACCAAATGGCTTCCCAGGAAGCAGTGAACTCTCTATCCTTAGAGATGTGTGAGGAGAAGTCAGACCGCATCCTTTCAGGATCTAGTAGGGATCTAGCCTCCCCACGACCTGGCCTCCCATACCCCAACCCCACTAAGAACACTTATAGCGCCATCACTCTGGAATGTGGGGGAAATGGGAGACACAGCCCCCCTGCATTTCAGGTAAATTCTGTTTCCTTCTAGCTACATTCTGGAATATAGAATGAGCCTGAAATGTATAAGGAATTCCAGCCCAGCTATACCCCAGTTGTGTTTTGTGGAACAAATGTGAATACCCCAAAAAAAAATTTTTTTTTTTAAATCCCAGTAAAGGAAGTTTGGGAAACATGAATTCAAATAATGCCAAACTCGTTTCTTAACTAGACTATGTCTCAGGACTTGTCATGTGTTCTATGTATTGTAATGTTCCAATAAGGGGTAGAGTATGAGGTGATTTTTAAATATATATGACCATAGACTTGTATGAAGCAATTTCTAGATCTATGTGAACTTATATCTATTTACTTATGAAGTATTTCTTAGCACCAGCATTTTGAAGAACACATGTTACAAACAAGGTTCTAATCTGTCTCAAAGTTTCCAGGGCAACTAGCCCAGAACTTGAACCCAACTGAATAACAAATTTGTAATTCAATACGAATCATATTTTACCCCTCAGGACCATCAAGACACATTAGAGCTGTAGAAAGTTGTTCAGATCAGTCAAGGCATGTATCTCCCTCACCAGCTGGTACCAGAACACCAATACTCCCCTCCAGAAAAGTCATCAGAAGCCGAAAAGGAGGAAAAACCTTCAGAGAAAAAGATACCTCAGAGCAGATATGAAAGAGAGCTAGGATGTGCCTTCCTACCATCATAAAGTCAATGGAGGATTTCCCCCACAATCACCACCAACCTCCTCTCAAGACTCTAAAGTACCACAAATGCAAGCTTTTTTGGGTAATCTCGGCCCGCCGCAGACCACGACTGACAAACACTTCCCTAAGCCTCCCACCCATTACCTGGAGTGCCAGGCTTCAGGGGTGTTTTCAAAGGCAGGAAGTCCCAGGCCCCGTCCTGCAGTGTCCAGGCCTGGTCCCTAGCAGCCTCGAGCAGTCAGCCAGGGCACCCTGGTAGGGAGAGAGGAGGAGGAGACACCCACATCCTCTTCCAAGAGTGGAGCCAGTGCCGGCTGGAGGGAGAACCAGGCCTGCTGGTCTCTGGGCACCGGCTCTGTCTGATGAGGATGGAAAGAAAAGCCTCTTGTTTCTCACTGTTCCCCTGGGTGACGGTTACCATGGATATGAATCAATTTGGGGCGCCTGTCAGTTGCCCGTTGACTCTAAAGAACGAATTCGCCCTGAACCACAGTCACGCAAGGACACATCCGCCGGACAGCGTGACGCGAGCTCGGGTCCACAGATGGAGGGGGCGCCTGCGGGCAGCTGCTTGGGGAGCGCAGCCCAGGGCCTGACACGGTGCCCATATGTGCACCCGGGCCCTCGTGGAGAAGCACTGTGACATGGATGGGTACTGACTAACTCCCTTTACCCCTCCTTAATAGGCAGGACACCCAGAATTGTAAGGACACCCTCCCAGAATGCCTGAAGAAAATACCTGAAACCAAGCCCCAGGGAGTAGGCCCCGTAATGGTGCATTTTTTTTAAAAGATTTTTTATTTATTTATTTGACAGAGAGAGATCACAAGTAGACGGAGAGGCAGGCAGAGAGAGAGAGGAGGAGGAAGCAGGCTCCCTGCTGAGCAAAGAGCCCGATGTGGGACTCGATCCCAGGACCCTGAGATCATGACCTGAGCCGAAGGCAGCGGCTTAACCCACTGAACCACCCAGGTGCCCCCGTAATGGTGCATTTAATAACCACAGCCAGCCCTCAGTCACCAGCCCAAGGGCTTTATAGACTCTAGCTCCTTTATCCCCACAACACTCCTTGGGGGTAAGTACTCTAGGCACCTCCACTTTGCAGACAAGGGAACTAAGGCCCAGAAGCATCACCCAGCAAGCAGCAGAAGGGCCAGGATCAAAAACCAGCTTTTGGGGGTTGCCCGGGACCACGTAGGACATCTGCAGCCTTATGGGCAAAAATAACAATTTAACTCTTTGAAAAGAGAGTCTCTAACTGGACCACAGATGAAGATGGGGGAACAAACGTACTCTGGGTCAGAAGAAGTGATGTGGTACTTGACTCCCTGCTGCTCTATGGTCCGAAGAGTTTTATAACCTCCCTGAGGGTTTATTGAACACGGGGCCATGGGACACACTAGCAACTTTATTTTACTACATCTTCTCTGCTGCCTTCGGAACTGCACTAACCTTCCCTTTGTGGATGAGGACACGATACTCGGGGAAGGTAAGGGCTTGCCAGGGGCCTGGGTCCTCTGCACTACTCCAGAGCTTTTGCTGGACTCGATTTCTCTAGAGGAAAAGGCATGCCAGGCCAGGCAATGGCTGCCTCGGAGACGGCCAGCATAGGCCACAGAGAATTCATGCATACAGTTCTTAAGCAGCGGGACCTATTTGCTTCTTTCTTTCTAACTTTAAAAGATCTACATTGAGGTAGGAGTGGAAATGCCCTCCACTAGATGAATGGATAAAGAAGATGCTGTCCATAAATACAATAGAATATTACGCAGCCATCAGAAAGGAGGAATACCCACCATTTGCATCAACATGGATGGGACTGGAGGGGATTATGCTGAGTGAAGTAAGTCAAGCAGAGAAAGTCAATTATCATATGGTTTCACTTATTTCTGGACCATAAGGAAAAGTGCGGAGCACCACAGGGGAAGGGAGGGAAAACTGAAGGGGAAGAAATCAGGGAGGGAGAAAAACCATGAGAGACTCTGGACTCTGGGAACCAAACTGAGGGTTACAGAAGGGAGGGGGTGAGGGGATGGGGTAACTGGGTCATGGGTACTAAGGAGGGTGTGTGTGGTGATGAGCACTGGGTGTTGTATACAACTAATGAATCATTGAACACTACATCACAAAATAATGATGTACTATAAAAATAAATAAATAAATAATCCAGATTGATAAACAGTCCAGACTTGGACAAGTTTCTTGAAATCTGACAATCCCTAAAAAATTGTTCTCTGCCTTTGCCTACTCAAACAATACATTTGAGGACAAGCCCCATAGGGGCCTAACAGTGCAACATCAAACCTATGACTTCTCTCCCCCCAGCTCCATTAAATAAGTCTTCCTCTTGTAAAATTTTACATTTGCAAACTTGCAGACTTTAAAAAACAAAGATGGTTTTCTTCTACACGTGAAATTTCTCAAGTCCAGAGTCTTGCAAATGCCTCCGAGATGCACTAGGGCTCTCCTGTGAAACTCATGAGCTGTCATAAAGCAGACGAGAAATGGACGCCATTTCTCTGGCACTCTTGGGGAGTAAGCAGCTGTTATAAACCATAGCTGTGGTGGGGATAGTAGGGTCTTATTTTTATATTTATAGATACATATGCACATAGAAAAGTCTGGAAGGATATATGCTAAACATTACTTCTGCTTCCTCCATGATGGAGGGATTATGGATGATTTTTACTTCAATTGGTATTTCAAGGTTTTCTACAAATGAACACAGATTATTTATATGCATTTTTAAATTACTATAATAAAGACTATGTAGCCACATAAAAAAGATCAATAATCAAAGGTTAAATAAGACTTCTCCTTCTAACATGATGGACTAACATAGACCAGATTTATCCTCCCACAGTAAATAATTAGAAAAACAGACAAAATATATGAAACAATTATTTTCAGACACTGGACAACAGGCAGCACTGTGAATCCTCCGGGAAAGGAAATGGAAGTAGGCAGGCCTGAAGGAAACCTAGCTTTCTGCTTGGAGGCACCTTGAGACCACAGAGTGGGGAAAGGGAACCCCAATCTGGCCGTGTTGTGGTTATGGAGATGGGGGTTCAGAGAAGATGAGGCAGCCGGAAGTTGCAAGACAGAGTTCTGGTGGAGAGAGATGTAGGTAGAAAAGCAGCTTCAAACTCTGCCCAGGCATGCCCTTGAGTCTATTGAATACCAAGAGGCTCAGGTGTAGAGTGCAATCCCAGGAGGTCAGATGGAGAGCTACCAAGAAACAGCGAGCAGAGCAGGTCCCAGAACTTACACAGCATTTAAGTTCCACCTCGTCAACAAGGAGAGTCTTTGTTGGTAACTCAGGAGCATTCAGTTGGGAATCCTAAAGGTCACACAATTGTGATGCACATGGAAACCTAGAGCCATCAGTAAAGAAAACAAAGAAAGAAGTAGAGCAGATGAAGTGTTATTTTTAAAACTATTCAACCAAAAGTCACAAAAGGGGGAGAAAGAGAGAACAAAGAGCAAAGGAAATAAATAGAAAACTACTAGCAAAATGGTATAGTTAACCCCGGTCATACGGATTACCATGGTAAATGGGCATCGTCTAAACACTGAGATCAAAAGGAAGAGAGAGACTGGGCAAAAACAAGACCCAACTACACGCTGCCTTGAAGACATACATTTTCAAAATTTAAAGCACAGATAGTTGTGGGGCTCCAGGGTGGCTCAGTTGGTTAAGTGGCTGGCTCTTTGTTTCAGCTCAGGTCATGATCTCAGGGTCCTGAGTTGGAGCCAAGTTGGGCTGTGCACTCCGCAGGGAGTCTGCTTCGGGAGTATCTCGCTCCCTCTCCCTTTGCCCCTTCCCCTGCTTGCTCTGTCCGTCTAAAATAAATAAATGAATCTTTTAGAAAAATACTTCAAGACATAGGTAGGTGAAAAGTAAAAGGATGCGAAAAGTTTTCTATCATGCACAGAATAAGCATAAGGAAACTGGAGGGGCTATGTTAAAATCAGACAAAATAGACATTAGGACAAGAAATGTCACCAGCTATACGGAGAGACATTTCACAATGACAAAGCGGTCCATTCATCCAGAAGGTATAGCAATCTTAAATGTGTATGTACCCAATAACAAAGCTCAAAATACATGAAGCAAAAACTGGGAGAACATAATCACATTTATAGTTAAATACTTAGTTGAATAGACTTCTTTCAATAATTGATAGGATAAGTAGACTCAAAAAGTAGAAAACCTGAACAATACCATCAAACAACTTGACCTAATTGATATATTTTTTAAAGATTTATTTATTTATTTGGAAGAGAGGGTGCATCAGTGGGAGGGGCAGAGGGAGAGGGAGAATCTCAAGCGGCCTCCATGCTGAGTGGGGAGACTGATGCAGGGTTCAATCTCACGACCTTGACTTCATGAACTTGAGATCATGACCTGAGCTGAGTTTGGCGCTTAGCTGACTGCGCCACTGAGGTGTCCCAGCCTAACTGATATTTACAGAACACTCTACCCAAGAATAGCAAAAACCCATTCTTTTCAAATGCATAAGAAAATTTCACTGAGATAGATAAATTTTGTACTGGGCCATAAAATAAGCCTCAGTAAGTGTTCTCTTACCACAACAGAATTAAATCAGAAAGTAATAGTAGAGAGGTGCCTGGGTGGCTCAGTGGGTTAAAGCCTCTGCCTTTGGCTCAGGTCATGATCCCAGGATCCTGGGATCAAGCCCTGCATCGGGCTCTCTGCTCAGCAGGGAGCCCTGCTTCCCTTCATCTCTCTGCCTGTCACTCTGCCTACTTGTGATCTCTGTCAAATAAATAAATAAAATCCTAAAAAAAAAAAAAAAGAAAGCAATAGTTGAAAGTTGAAAGATCCTCAGGAAAGCCCCAAATATATGGAAATTAAAAATCATACATCTAAATTATCCATGAGTCAAAGGAGAACTCACAAGAGAAAAGAAAAATTAGAGAATGTTTTATACTGAATAAAAATGAAAACACAGCCTACCAAAATTTGTGGGTTGCAGTAAAGGGAAAGTTTGGCTTTTAATGCTAAACCAGAAACAACCCAAATCTCTATTAACAGAAGAGAAAAACAAATTGTCGTGTACCCATGCAATGGCACAGCACTCAGCAATAAAGGAAACAAACTATAGATTCATGCAACATCAATGAATCTCAAAAACATTGTGTTGAGTAGCCTTCATTGGAGACTCAGAACCGAAAGAGAACATTTACATGATTTTACTTACATGAAGCTCTTGGAAAGGTATCTATTCCACAGTGACACAGAGCCTGT